CTGTTGCTCCATTAATGTTCAATATATTTTTTCTGCAATTATACATTTTAGGCGCAGTGAATAGCAAATTTTTTCTTAAGGTGTGCCTTTAGCCCCGTTGTACCCTACTGTAAATAAATAAATTGTGCCATTATGTGCAATTTGAATTTCCCTGGGAAAAGCAGCAGCTCATCTTCTGATAGAGACAAAGAATTGACAATTTACATTCCTTTTGGTTTTTAATGATTATGACTCTGTTTGTGTGAATGCATCTTACAAGTGCTTTACTGTGATAAAAAAAAAAACGAGTAATGTAAACTATTAGTTCCTATTCCTCAAGACAGTAAATTATAATGAAGCATGTTTTATACGAACTAACAGAATTCAGTTGCAGTTGCTAAATTATGTGGAAAATGTGATTTTTTTTATTACTGTATCTTATGCATCATATAATGACTGTGAAAGCTAAAACTCATTTTAATGACTGTACCTTGATTATGCTACAGTGGCTATTTCATCATTTTCCTTTTTATTTAATGTATATGAAAACAAGTGTCAATTAATATCACTATTTCATGTTTACCAGCGACAGAGTCTACTTATTTAAAGAGTATTCAACATGTATAACCACTTTATTTGGTTTTACTTAAAATTTTGTGAATGTGTATATGTATACACACACACACACACACACACACACACACACAGAGCGGGATAACACACACACACACACAGAGCGGGATAACACACACACACACACAGAGCGGGATAACACACACACACACACAGAGCGGGATAACACACACACACACACAGAGCGGGATAACACACACACACACACAGAGCGGGATAACACACACACACACACAGAGCGGGATAACACACACACACACACAGAGCGGGATAACACACACACACACACAGAGCGGGATAACACACACACACACACAGAGCGGGATAACACACACACACACACAGAGCGGGATAACACACACACACACACAGAGCGGGATAACACACACACACACACAGAGCGGGATAACACACACACACACACAGAGCGGGATAACACACACACACACACAGAGCGGGATAACACACACACACACACAGAGCGGGATAACACACACACACACACAGAGCGGGATAACACACACACACACACAGAGCGGGATAACACACACACACACACAGAGCGGGATAACACACACACACACACAGAGCGGGATAACACACACACACACACAGAGCGGGATAACACACACACACACACAGAGCGGGATAACACACACACACACACAGAGCGGGATAACACACACACACACACAGAGCGGGATAACACACACACACACACAGAGCGGGATAACACACACACACACACAGAGCGGGATAACACACACACACACACAGAGCGGGATAACACACACACACACACAGAGCGGGATAACACACACACACACACAGAGCGGGATAACACACACACACACACAGAGCGGGATAACACACACACACACACAGAGCGGGATAACACACACACACACACAGAGCGGGATAACACACACACACACACAGAGCGGGATAACACACACACACACACAGAGCGGGATAACACACACACACACACAGAGCGGGATAACACACACACACACACAGAGCGGGATAACACACACACACACACAGAGCGGGATAACACACACACACACACAGAGCGGGATAACACACACACACACACAGAGCGGGATAACACACACACACACACAGAGCGGGATAACACACACACACACACAGAGCGGGATAACACACACACACACACAGAGCGGGATAACACACACACACACACAGAGCGGGATAACACACACACACACACAGAGCGGGATAACACACACACACACACAGAGCGGGATAACACACACACACACACAGAGCGGGATAACACACACACACACACAGAGCGGGATAACACACACACACACACAGAGCGGGATAACACACACACACACACAGAGCGGGATAACACACACACACACACAGAGCGGGATAACACACACACACACACAGAGCGGGATAACACACACACACACACAGAGCGGGATAACACACACACACACACAGAGCGGGATAACACACACACACACACAGAGCGGGATAACACACACACACACACAGAGCGGGATAACACACACACACACACAGAGCGGGATAACACACACACACACACAGAGCGGGATAACACACACACACACACAGAGCGGGATAACACACACACACACACAGAGCGGGATAACACACACACACACACAGAGCGGGATAACACACACACACACACAGAGCGGGATAACACACACACACACACATACATATATATACACACACACACACACACACACACACACACATACATATATCCGTCTTTCGGATGAGATGGTAAACCGAGGTCCTGACTCTCTGTGGTCATTAAAAATCCCATGGCACTTCTCCTAAAGAGTAGGGGTGTAACCCCGGTGTCCTGGCCAAATTGCCCCCCTGGCCTTTGTCAATCATGGCCTCCTAATATAGTCATAATTTTCGTTGACGAAAGCAACACTAGTTTTATGAAGGTAAATTTAAGGCCTTTTAAAGAAAATATATATTAAAGGGAACACAACACGTCAATATGTTCTTTAAATGAAGCACACAATGATGTGTATTATCAACACGTCGAAGTACTGTACTACAGTAACAAACAAGGTTACAAAACAAAATTATGCTTATAGTGTGTCACTATTTAATAAATAAATAGAAAACTCGTAATGGCTAAAAATATGCTTATTTTCCCTTTTTCTTTTCTCTTCTTCTTTTGGTTTTGGGATGGCATGTGATCATGTTTTTGAGATACACACATAATTTCACACAGATCACTTACAGATTTTATTTTGCTCCACATGCTCTCCCTGCATCACATTTTCACGAAGGATGGTTTCAACCGCTCGGGCCACTTTGAGCATCTGAAAGAATGAGTTTAATAGATATTCTTGCCTAGAAGCCTCCAAGAGCAGACAGAAGTCTTAATATCTAGTTTAATCATATCAAATGTTTCATTCTCGTTTTTTTTTTTTAATTCTTCATTTATTTTTAACCTGGCAGCTTCATGTCCAGAGGAGTAAAAAAACGTGTATGAGACTTTAACTAAGACATAGTAACAACAGCAATAGTAATAATAATAAATACTTAAAAAAAATGTTTTTTTTTCAGAACGCAAAGATAAAAAAACAACAACATACAAACGGGACAGAAATTATTTTGCTGAAAAGTAACAGTCCAAACAAAAGCATCAACACTAAAATAAAGAAAACAAAAAGTAATAATAATAAAAGAAATAAAAAAAATGTTGTGAGCTGATATGTAAAGAATTTAAATATGTAATTCAAGTATGTAGACAATTGTTGTTAGCGTATGGTGTAGGTTTATTGACACCTGTCAGAGCTCGGTCATCATCTCTAAAAACATGTCTTCTGGTCTTATGCAGATCTTTGAAGACCCGCAGCACCTTTGAATACAAATATTACGACACTGCAAAGATAAATGACCAGTGTTGGGGAAAGTTACTTTTAAAAGTAATGCATTACAATATTGCGTTACTCCATAAAAAGTAACTAATTACGTTACTTAGTTACTTTTGTATGGGAAGTAATGCGTTACGTTACTTTTGCGATACTTTTTAAATCTGGACAGGGCTTGCTTGTTTGTTTTTAAAATAAAAAAGTTATATTTTTGGCAAATATAAAAGCCTTTTCACACCAAAAGTGAAATGAATAAGCCTCAGACTGAACGGAAAGTAAATTTACGTCCGTACAGTAGAATGCAGAAGAAGACATTTCAACACTTCAGCAATAAACAAAGACACACAAATGTTTGTCTAGAGTAATTTGTGCTTATTAGTACGGTTGAACTGGATCATCGAAGACATTGGTTAATAGAATGGGACTAAATACAAGGATATTTGTGTTGTTTAACATTTAATTATTGCAGGTTTGCGTCATATTCTGAGTTGCGTTATTTTTATTCATTTTGAGGAATACTGAATCTGCGTTTTTGTTTTTTTTGTGAGTGAGATGAATTAATGCATATTCATATTTATTTTAGAACTAGAGTAACATCTGATTTCTCTCAACATGGGGACAGGAGAGCTGTCAGTCAATAAATTGGAAAAAAATTAACTCAGATATTATCTTGTAAATTAAAAAGTAATGCGTTACTTTACTAGTTACTTGAAAAAAGTAATCTGATTACGTAACTTGCGTTACTTGTAATGCGTTACCCCCAACACTGGTAATGACTAAACAATGCTTTTATAATGCAATGGCACGTTGCTCTTATAAAGCCGTCTATTTAAACAATTTAATAACGGCAATTGCATTTACTGAGTTTGAAAATAAACACAGCAACTGTTGAAAACAATGTAAGAAAACACCAATATTGTAAATCGCTATTGTTTCAAGCGTGTCCCCATCACGCAGGAGTCTCGTTCTGCTGCGGCTGTTGTGATGCAGCGCCGCCTGCTGCACTGGAGGACGCGTCTGTTCCGCTAACGCGCGGGGGTTTATATTCAGCAATAAACATCAGAATTAAACTGAAAAAGAACCTTTAAGAAGCCAGTTAGTTGGTTTTGTATTGCTTATTATGGGGAATGTCCCTTGAATGAAAGGAAAAGCTTTATTAGATACGTTTTCTTGAAGGAAGTTGATGGATGCACCAGATATCTGAGATGCACAATGCAACAGCACCCTATTGGTTATCTTCAGATATCTCCAACGCAAATAAACTGCATCACAGTGATCACACTCATTCACATCCTCTGGTTAATACTCAGTTCTCCATGGGTCCCACCTGTGTTACTGTAGTACTTACATTAAATAGTTATAAACACTTACACAATGTTGTGATGCCTAAATTCATATTTAGCACGCAGTTTTCTGAAAACAAAGATTCACAGCATAACCTACAACATGAACGTAACTTCAGCCAGAATTTCTTTATTGTGTGTTTTATTGTTAGCATTATTTGAGGTTTTCCTACGATTGCATGAAGCATCCGAGTCACCCAATTACAGAAAGACTGTATCAAACCAAATGTATTGGATTCCACAGAACAGAAGTACAACATGCAAGTCTCACACCATAACAGACGCAAACAGGCACAACTTCTTCACCAAATCACATTATTCATGATGAAGCACACAAGCAGACGAATCCTCCACGTGTCTCCGGTCTTTGTCTGAAAGGAAAGCACAAGGAAGAAAATGTTCAGCAACAGCTAAACTTCGAGCAGAATCATGGCAACGCGTTATACTGACCCTCATATAAGAGTAAATAATCGTTCCCCTGAGTGCAGGGTCAGATGGGTAGTGTGCTTAATCATTGGGTCAGTTCAAAGCTTCAGTCTTTTAGTTGGATTAATCTAAACAAAAATCAGTCTGTAAAAGCTAGTACTAAAATGTTGTCCACAACATTTTACTTATAAATGCCTAAAACATACCTTGTTGCTGCCCATCCTCGAAGCCCACGCTGCTCAAAGCACTGCAGTGCACATGTGCGGAATGAATCTTCTTCTGTGTTAGTTTCAGGCTTTCGGCCAGAGCCTCAGCAGCGCATTACTGCCTCCAGCGGCGGCACTGGGAACCACTGATGGCCGCTTTCCAATCATGATTCATGAAGCTTCGAAACATTCGTCAATCTTTTGTTTTGAAGCGCTGCTTCAGAAGTCGCCTGGTCACGTGATCTTAGCAAACAAAACATGTTTGATTTATTTGTTTGTTTGTCTCACATTTATTAATTTTACTTTTATTTTGTTAATGTTTTTTACTTGTTTTGTTATTTTTTGCTGTTTTATTTTGTGTATGCATAACAGCATATATAATAGTGCTGTCAAATGATTAATCGCGATTAATCGCATCCAAAATAAAAGTTTTTGTTTACATAATATATGTGTGTGTGCTGTGTATATTTATTATGTGTATATACATACACTCACATACAGCATATATTTTGGAAATATTTACATGCATATGCATTTATATTCTTATATTTTATGTTATATATAAATATATTTAACACACACACACACACACACACACACACAATATATATTATATATAACACCGCTAGATGGTGTTGATCTGGTAAACCGTATAGTTTTGACTGATTTTATAATGTAGGTTCATGTTTGATAAATGTTGGTATGCATGTTTTGCCTAATAACACGCAAACAAGCATTCCATATGATAACATTTTACACAACCTTCATATTTAACGCTGTTTGATTACTTGTAGGTTACTTTTAGTAGAGTTTTCGTTGCAATTACATCGTTTTGAGCAGCAGCTGCCGCCAGCCTGCGGCGTTTCGGGCGCTTCGTTCACAGATTCATAGTTTCTCTCTTAATTTCTGGGAATGATGTACACAACAACTGAATATGGCCTTGGATACAGATCAGAGAAACGGGGAAAAATCGGTATCAGGAATTAATATTTGATATAACTCAGTGTATCCTTTTACGCAAAAAAGCGAGGAGTGACGTTTAATTTGAAAAGAGGCGTTGTGGTGTTTTTCCGGAAGTGTGCGTCTCCGCTGAGAGTCAGCTGACAAGCGTAGTTCCGCTTCTGCGTGGTGGCGGTCAGCTGACAGATGTTTGCCGTCTCGGATCGTGCGGCTGTGAAATAAAAACACCTGCGCGATCAGAGCCGACCAGCGCGATGAGTGCTGGCGCCCCCCGATCACTGGCCTCCTCCGGACAGAAGTCCATCCAGGACATCTGCCACCCTCTGTCCGCCGAGGAGAGCGCGCTGAACCCCGGCAGCGCTGCAGACACGGTGAGGTCCGGGCTGGGGCTGTTTGGGGCCACACCAACCCAGAATCGCTCTCTAGCTAGGCAGCATTCAGGATCCATCAGCACTAGTGAAGCAGTGCTGACAGCGTGTCGCTGTGTCTAAAATATTTGACTGGGTAAAAAACAAGTAGTGTGTTTGTCCAGCCACAAACAGTGCACAGACGCATTTCGTCTATTTGCATCATTAGTAATATGTTTTAGTAAATATCGTGGTATGGAAATATGCAGTGTTACTACCTTGTTTATGAACGTGCATCGTGGTATTACCATGTTTTTGGGTATGTACTATGGTAGGTTGTTTGAACATGCACCATGATTGTACCATGCGTTTTTAGTATTTATTTACCGTATTAATACCATAATTTATTGGCCATGCACTGTGTGTCATCTAAATACAATGATCTATGATTATAATAGTTATTTAGTATGATGGTACACATCAGGGGCCCATCATAGTATTTGTTTTTTTGTGTGGATTGGAGTGCATTTTATAAATATTCAGATTAATGCGTTTTGTGTTCAATCTAAAAACGTGAGCGGTTTGGCTAAAGTGAAATGAAATTATTGTATGTGATCTCCCAGTTTCGAATTGTTGTAAATACTGATCAGTGTTGCACATATCGAGGTTTATTTATCAAATGCACAAAAATATACGCAGCAAAATATGTATGTATGCCTAGAAAATGGAAATAAAAAAAATAAGGAATAGTTCACCCCAAAATAAAAATCGCTGAAATTGTCCTCACCCTCAGCTCATCCGAGATGTAGATGAGTTTGTTTCTTCATCAGATTTGGAGCACTGCATCACTGTCTCACCAATGGAAGTGAATGGGTGCCGTCAGAATGAGAGTCCAAACAGCTGATAAAAACATCACAATAATCCACATCACTCCAGTCCATCAGTTAACATCTTGCAAGTGATGTAATGCCTAAATTTCTCCAAATCTGTTCTGATGAAGAAACAAATTCATCTATATCTTGGATGGCCTGATTTTCATGTCTAGGTGAACTATTCCTTTAAGACCTAAAGGAAAAGTAAATTAACCACACAGAATAAAAAAAAAAATGTATATGAGTGCTGCTTAACACATTGTGCAAAGTTGCTATTAGTAAATTCTAGTAAGAGTATTGAAATAGTAACCGCAGATGTCTGTTGTGCAGTGTGTGAGGTGTAAACTTATAATGAGTCAGACATGTCTGGACAATAGAGCTGTGTTGAGCTTGGCACAGCTGACTGAGATGCTGCTAAATGAAGAGTTTGTTGTGTTTTACTCATGACGCAGAAGAGTTGTTTTTGCGCGCTGCTCATAAATGTATTGTTGTTGCAGTTGCACTGTGGCTTCCCTATTTGTTGGATATGATAATTGCTTGTAAATGCTGTGAATGCTTGTTTACTTCATATTAAAATGGCTGTTTTAATAATAATATTATAGGTCATTTTAATTCTATTTGTACTTCATTATTAGAGATAGTAAGGCTTTTTCTGTACTTGTTTATTCCGATGGCTAATTTATAGCCAGAAAGTGTTTTTTTTTTTTTTTTCTTATTGGACGTTTGCAATTCATTAAGATGCATCAGCGCAATATTTGAACTAACCCAGAAACTTTGGCTTTCTTTACTGATTTCTGCTAATAAGCAGAAACTCCCTTTGGGGTTGTTTTGTGTGACACATTAAACAGTTTAGAAAACAGTTTTTTTTTTTTATAGAGAAAATGAAATCATGGGATACACCGTGCCAGGTAACATTATGAGTAATGCTTATTTTCCTGGTAAAACGGAAATAACTCACTATCACGGTTTTGTGATAATTGCCTAATCTTGCCTAACCTGAGAGCGGGAACGAGACATCACAGAGACATTTCTCCGTTATGGGAACTCCTTCCCTTCCAACCTTTCCTGAAGTCCTATTGGCTCACGCCAGTCCAAATGACTGTATGCAAATCACATGCAAATACTGACGCGCTCGAGAGGCAGTATGAAATGCGGTGCACGCGACAATTACGTCAGAATCTGATACTGAACGCCGCTTAGCTGGTCGAGCAGCGAACACG